GTTTCCACATAGAAACCCAGGGTGAAGGGAATAAAGAATCCCTACTGATCACTAAGATCACACTTGGCCATAAACAAGTCCTCGAGACTATACCCGCTTTATCTACTGGCCTTTACTATGCCAAGGTCAGTATGATTGAGGCTAATAATGCTCTCAAAGCCCGGTTCCAAGACTACACTATTTGGCACGACCGGCTTGGTCATCCCGGTACAACCATGATGCGTAAATTAATCCAAAGTTCTCAAGGACACACCCTTCGAGAAAACCGAGTCTTCCCTCAGCACCTCATGTGCACAGCTTGCTCCCAAGGGAAGTTGATCACTCGGCCTTCACCAGTAAAAGTGTCCAAAGAGACATTGCATTTTCTGGAAAGAATCCAAGGAGATATCTGTGGTCCCATTCACCCACCTTCTGGGACATTCCGGTACTTCATGGTACTAATAGATGCTTCGACCCGTTGGTCGTATGTATGCCTGTTGTCTTCTCGGAACCAAGCTTTTGCTAGGTTGTTGGCTCAAATCATCAGATTACGAGCCCACTTTCCAGACTTCCCACTAAAGACTATACGTCTTGATAATGCTGGTGAATTCACTTCCCAAGCGTTTAATGATTATTGTATGGCCATGGGGGTGACCGTGAACATCCTGTGGCACATGTCCATACTCAGAATGGACTTGCTGAATCATTCATTAAACGAATCCAATGGATTGCTCGACCATTACTCATGAGGTCGAAACTCCCGGTCTCAGCTTGGGGACATGCAGTATTACATGCTGCTGAACTAATACGCATCCGACCATCTAGTGAGCATAGATATTCCCCATCCCAATTATTATAGGGTCATGAGCCAGACATCTCCCATCTCAAAACATTTGGGTGCTCAGTCTATGTACCCATTGCTCCACCACATAGAACCAAAATGGGACCTCAAAGGAGGATGGGAATATATGTTGGTTTTGATTCTCCCACCATCATCAAATATCTCGAGCCGACCACTGGAGACCTATTTAAGGCCAGATATGCGGATTGCCAATTTGATGAATCGGTATATCCAACATTGGGTGGAGAGAAACACAAGCTGGTCAAAGAGCTATCATGGAATCAAACATCCTTAAATTGGCAAGATCCTCGGACTCTAGAATGTGATTCGGAGATCCAAAAGATTATACACTATCAAAAGCTAGCTAATCAATTGCCAGATTCCTTTGCTGACCCGAACAAAGTAACCAAATCGTACATACCAGCTTGTAATGCACCAGTACGAATCACTGTTCCAACGGGACAAGTTCAAGTTGCTACAGAGTCTGCATCACGAAATAAACGTGGCAGACCTCTAGGTTCCAAAGACAAGAATCCACGGAAATCAAAGAAAGGTGCAATAGTTGAAACCGGGATTCCCAATATAACAGACATAGCGCGCGCTGAGACTCACTCTAATGAACCACCAGAAGAGGTTCGGGACGCCGAATCTCTAGGTTCTGACGAGATCGATAACGATGAGATCTCTATCAATTACAACATGTCTGGAACCCAATGGAACAGAAAAGAAGTCGACTTAAATGCACTCTTTGCATACAAAGTAGCACTTGATATTGCGAACACGCAAGAGGATCTAGAACCCACGTCTATCACAGAGTGCACTCATAGAACAGACTGGCTAAAATGGAAAGAAGCCATAAACGTGGAGTTAAAGAGTCTCAAACTCAGGAATGTGTTTGGTCCGATCATCCGGACACCATTTAATGTCAAACCAGTGGGCCATAAATGGGTCTTTGTGCGTAAAAGAAACGAACTCGGTGAAGTCGTTCGTTATAAAGCACGGCTTGTAGCACAAGGATTCTCACAGAGACCCGGAATCGATTATGAGGAGACTTATTCTCCGGTGGTGGATGCAACTACTTTTCGATTCCTCATAAGTCTGGCCATAAGAGAAAATCTAGATTTGTGGTTAATGGATGTTGTCACCGCATATCTCTATGGGCCCCTCGACAATGAAATATACATGAGATTACCAGATGGCATAGAGCTTAAAGATAAGCATGCATCTCGAGATCAATACTGCATCAGGCTGAACAAATCCTTGTATGGACTGAAACAAAGTGGACGTATGTGGTATAACCGGTTAAGCGAATATCTCATCAGAGAAGGCTACAAAAACGATCCCATCAGTCCATGCATTTTCATCAAGAAATACTCAAACAAAGGATTTGTAATCATAGCAGTTTACGTGGATGACCTAAACATCCTCGGAACATCTGGTGAAATCTCCCAAACAGTCGACTGCTTGAAAGCAGAATTCGAAATGAAAGACCTAGGTAAAACTAAATTCTGTTTGGGTTTACAACTTGAGTACGTTAAAGGAGGAATCCTTGTGCATCAAGCAGCTTACATTGAAAAAGTACTCAAGCGATTCAATATGGACCAGGCCCACCCATTGAACAGCCCAATGGTTGTCCGGAGCCTAGGATTGGACAGTGATCCATTTGGTCCCAAGAAGGACGATGAAGAAATTCTCGGTCCAGAAAAGCCATACCTCAGTGCTGTAGGAGCGTTAATGTACTTGGCTAGTCACACTAGACCAGACATCTGTTTTGCCGTGAACCTCCTAACTCGCTTCAGCTCATGTCCAACTCAGAGGCACTGGAATGGTATCAAACACCTCCTAAGATACCTTCAAGGTACTAAAGACTTAGGACTGTTTTACACTAACCACAACAAGGATGGACTAGTTGGTTTTGCTGATGCAGGTTATCAATCAGATCCGCACAATGCCAAGTCTCAAACTGGTTATGTGTTCACGCATGGAGGAACAGCTATCTCTTGGAGATCGATAAAGCAGAAAATCACTACCACTTCATCAAACCATGCAGAACTTTTGGCCATTCACGAAGCCAGCAGAGAATGTGTTTGGCTACGATCCATGACTCAGCACATCCGATCAGATTGTGGTATGAAAGAAGATAAGGAGCCCACGGTTATGTTTGAAGACAACGCGGCTTGCATTGCTCAACTCAAGGAAGGTTATATCAAAGGAGATCGGACGAAGCACATCCTACCGAAATTCTTCTCAACCTCGGATTGGCAGAAGGATGGTACGATCAGCGTTCAACAGGTCCGATCATGCGATAACTCCGCCGACCTTTTCACCAAATCATTGCCCGCTTCAACACTCCGGAAGCTCATCCAACAAATAGGAATGCGTAGACTTAGAGATCTACGGTGATGCTCTAATCAGGGGGAGTAATGCGTGTTGTACTCTTTTTCCTTCACCATGGTTTTTCCCACTGGGTTTTCCTGGTAAGGTTTTAATGAGGCAACATTCCCCAGCGTATTATCGAGATCCCGATTGACCATCAGGTCCGGTTACTCCGTCCAAGGGGGAGTGTTATAATACATCATATTGGACTTATAACCGGGCCCAATAAGCCCATCAGGGTTATTCATTATGTACTCTAAAACCCTAGATTTATATGCCTATATATATGTATCATTATTCATGGAATGGAATAAGATAACAATAAGTTTCACAACACTTATTAGGTTGTTTTGAGTTGTTTATTTTCTACTAGATCAACATCATGACAAACAAAATACAAGACTATAAAAATGATTGATCTTTTTATTTATTAATTAGACTTTTTAGTTGTTATAAGTAATCTAAATGATTCTTACTTTAGAATTTACACAAAATCATGTTTTCTAAACTATTATCGGTGATTATCGTAATTTCGTAATTCATATAAACCAATAGATTTGATTGATAACACAATATTATACATTTTTTTTAAAATATAAGTTAGAATAGTAATTTTTTATGAATTAATAAAACTATATAAAAAATAATACATAAAAACTGTAAAAAAAACTGATAATAACGTTTTCAATAACAATTTTGATATCGTTTTTATGATTACTAGTTGTCAAAATAGTATGCCCTACCGCAATACTACATAATTACCATTCAAATCCAATATAACCAGAAAAATTATCTTCCTATAGATTTTATTAGAAAGTTGTATATTATAAAAATAAGCAGAACTATACGTATATTGCATATACACAACTAGCTAGGAGAGGTTGACTGGATAACTTACGTGGGAGATATGTTCCACGTTGATGCTAATAATGACTAAACGAACGACACGCGGATCCACGTGAGCCATCAGCTCTGTGTTACCCTGCCGTTTCGTGTCTCTCAAAGGTCAAAAACCCAGCTATTTTCTGATTCTTCACATTGAAGAAATATCTTACTATTTTATTCCATTTTTATTGATTTTATCAATACATCAATTTCTGTAGCTGTATTAATAAAGAGATGCATGAATTTGTTATTTTGGAAAAACCATATACAGTATTAGTGGTTTTAAATAAATACTACGCATATTAGTGGATTAAATTCATCACATAAGACTATTTACTAATTTTGCAAAGCGTCACATATTTGCAGTCGGCGATTGATGCGCGTAAGCCATGCAACTATTGTAATCTCCCTTCTCTTCCATCTGTTACGGTCCTTTCTTTCAAGGGTTTTTTTTTTTTTTTTTTTTTTTTTGTGGTAAAAGGTAATTAAGTTTCCTTTCAAAGTTTTGATTTATCTGATCATATAAAGAATTAATTAATTTATTTTATTAATATTGCGATGAGCGTACGTAAATTAATATCCACGTATAACGGTATAAGTATTTATGTACAATCAATTTTTATAGACATATCACATGCGTATACACTTAAAAACTTAGATATACGTTCACATGTTGCATGTCAATATTGTCGAAGTCCTCGTAATTTTTGTTCTATATATATGCAGAACCATATCGTCAAATATTCCTCTTAGGTTTTTGATAAGATTTAAACCAACAAATATTGTCAAAGAACTTTACGATTCTATAAACCCAAGAAAAAAAATATTTCATCAGTATACTCGCATAAAATACCAAATTACGTTTTTTTTTTGGTTCAATAATAAAGGTGTTCGACCATTTCATCTTTTAGTTAAAATGAATCAATATGTCAGTTTATAATTTGTTTAATGTTAATTTACCTATTGGCTTCATTTTCTATATTTCGTTACACGGTACGTAGCGTTGGTAATATAAAACCATACCGATGTAATATAGTAGATAAAATATGATTACATATACCTGCGGATATATAAACATATATGCATTGTGTATATATCGATAGACGTAGGTATAAATATTGGCTTAAAGAATATAACCTCTAAAGACTAAGGAGCAAAATGAGAAACCTAGTAGAAGAAAAGTTCCTAGAGTTCTATGAGAGTTGGGTTATACAACTTGAGCTATATCTTCATCAACTTTTAATTGCTCATAACACTATGAGTGAGACCGAGCTTCGAGCTTTGATCTCGAAGCTAACTACACATCACAAAGCTTATTACACAGCCAAATGGGCAGCCATAGGAGAAGATGTTTTAGCTTTCTTTGGACCGATTTGGCTAAACCCGTTAGAGAAAGCTTGCTTTTGGTTAACCGGATGGAAACCGTCTACGGTATTTCGGATGGTTGATAGGCTGAGGAAGTACTCGAGGGTGGTGCTTGTGGAGGCTCAGGTGAGGAAATTGGAGGAGTTGAGAGTTAAGACCAAGTTCGATGAGCAAAAAATTGAGAGGGAGATGGAGCGGTATCAGGTGGGTCCAAGATTTAGATCCGTACGGATCTTAGATTTTTATAACTATTTTTCAAACATTTGATATATATTATTTATGAATTAGAATTCTTTATTGAAAACTGGATAGCCATTTTCAGTGATATATATTTTTTGTTTGGAAAATATATCAAATTCTTTAAAGTTATAGCAATTTTCTATTGAAAACAGTGTTGAATCAAATTTGGCACTTGTCCTTATGATCAGTAATCACTGTACGTATATTGTAATTCATTTTATTATAGATATATTTAACATAAAATAACTGTCTTTAGGTGGCTATGGCTGATCGGAAGATGGTGGAACTGGCGAGGCTTGGATGTCACGTCGGAGGAGAATCGGTGGTGGTGGTGGAGGCAGCGGTGAGGGGATTAGCGACGGGTCTTGAGAAGATGGTGAAAGCGGCGGATTGTGTGCGGCTGAAAACGCTTAAAGGTATTTTAGACATTTTAGCACCACCACAGTGCGTTGAGTTTTTGGCAGCGGCGGCTACGTTTCAGGTTCAGTTACGTCGGTGGGGGAACCGAAGACATAATGTCACTCACTCCTGACACAAACTTAAGGGTTGTTTCCGCTGTTGTCACGTTTTTTTTTACTTTTTTTAAATTTACCAATAAGAATGAAAAAATTTAACTTCCATCAACAGCTGTCTTTTTTTCTTTCGCGTTAAAACCAACAATTACAAAAGAAAAATAGAATGTAATTTCATGGCATGAAATATATGAATATGTGGTGGTACTCAGAATGAAGTGCATTCTTAAGCACTTTGGTGCGTTTCTATCGGAGCTTACAGGATCAGCCGATAAGGATTATATAATATATATATATATGAATGTGAAGTATTACAAAAAAAAAAAGAGTCACACATATGTTATCACAAAAATAATACGTTCAATACGTGATATATACTACTCTGCATTATACAAACACATCGAAACTCGTATATATCAAATCCATCGAGAAGGAAACACTAATCAAAACAAACTCAACGTTGAAGAATCAAGAAACCAAATGCTCATATAAGAAAAAACTGATCCAAGAAACCAGAAGAAAAAAGAAAAAAGTGATACAACTTATAGAGAGAGAGAGAGAGAGAGAGCATTAAACGAATAGGAGAAACCTCTGATTGGTCAAGTAGCTTCAGAGGACAAGATTTCGAGCTCTGCCCACCAAAGAGGAGAGGATCTTGGAGTAGCTTTCTCAGGAGTTATGTTGATAACTTGTTTTAGTTGTTCCGCTACATCTTTCATCGAAGGTCGATGTCTCTGTTCTGTTTTCAGACATTCTCGTATCACATCGCAGATCACTTCAAGCTCTTCTTCTTTGAATGTCTTTAACGATGGATCTATCATCTCTCCTAATTCGTCGTTTTCAAGGTACTTTGAAGCCTGATACATGAGCCAGACCGTTAGTATATGGATAATGCTCTCTGTTTTTGTTTTGATTAAAGAGGGATTATTAATGCTTATATACCCATTGCTCTATAGATCCGTATTCGTCTGAGAAAGAGAGCTTTCCGGAGATTATTTCGAGCATTAAGACTCCAAAGCTATGGACGTTAGCCTCTGGTTCTGGAGGTAGTAGCAATGACGTTTGCTCTAAGTCACCACTCACATGTTTCTTCGGATTTAATCTTGCCTCTAAGTTGAATGGAATCTCCGAGACCTGCAAATTCGGTTTACCAAATCTTTATAGCGGCCTAACGACAAACCCTTTAAAACAGTTTCAGGGTTCTTGTATTGTAATATAGTTTGGGAGGTTCTTGAGCAAATATAGGTTAGTAATAACACATTCAATAACAGTTTGAGAGTTTTTAGAGCAAACCTTGGCTGCGTAGTCATCGGTTAGGTAGATTTCCGATGAGTTGAAGTCCGTATGAGCCATAGGCGGGTTCATCGCGTGCATATGTTGTAGACAGTAAGCCGTTCCCATTATTATTCTCATCCGTGCGCTCCAATCAAGATGCTCTGTCTCCATATCTGATAGGCAGAAAACGTTATTAACCGAGAGAGTGAAAGCCGACATAACATCATGAAAAGACCAAGACCAATGTTTTTACCGTGCAAATGTTCGAAAAGAGTTCCATTTGGAGCATATTCAAAGACCATCATCCTATTAAAAGGATCATCTTCTTCGCAGTATCCAATCAGATTCACAAAGTTTTTATGGTTGATCCGCGATAATGTATCAATCTACAAAAAGACATACACTAACTCCAATTCAAAAGGATACTTATAATGGTAAGACCTTTTAAGTTATTATTTTCGAGTTTCACAAGGATTAAGTAACCTTTCTACGGTATGCCATTTCCATGGCTCTTGTCCATTCCTTAGATTCAGCAATCGCGGTTGAAGCCACCGCTATCTCAACACCACTCGACAATGTTCCTTTATACACAGTGTAACCGTCAAATGTCTCTATAATGTTGCTGAAATCCTCACACGCTGTTTCAAGCTCAGACCGATTGAGCTTTGGTACCCCTAGATTTTGTCAAGTTCTCAGTTTCAATGTTAATGTTCCTAAAGAAACAGAGTAAAAATGGAAACAGAGAGAAGAAGATTTTTTACCGGTAACAAAAGCTTTCTGCAATTGTCCACTAAGACCAGTTTTCCAAGGACCTATGCTCTTTACGGCTCTTTTTCGGCAGAAGAAGATAACCGCTACTATAATCAGTAAACCGACGAAAGAAGAAACGGCGATAATCACATACAGCCATACATGTTTTGATCCTTTTGACTGTTTATTATCTTGTGGCTGATTCTTAGAGATATCAAGACTAGTGTTCTTATCAGGAGAAGGTAAAGGAGGGTGTAAAGGCGGTCTTCTCTTCTTTGCATTGGTTACTGCAGGGAAAGACCCGCTGCTTCGAGGAGAAGCTTCAGTTATAATCTCGGGAGAAGGACTAGGAGCGGAAGGAGCAGGCTCGGCCTCCAAATTACTTGACTCCTCGAGTAACTCACGTCGTTTGAAGATATCAGTTTGCTCCAAAAAGCCTGCAAGAATCAGATTGAAATCTTATCTCTAGTTTCTGCGCTAAAATTGTTGAATCCAAATTGTTTTGGCTTACTAGGGAATGCTTTCAAGAAACGTCTGGAGGTTGCTTTGATCCGGAATACAATAGCTTCTACCTTTTTTACTCGAATGATTCGGTTTCTTGAAACACTGTCAAGACAAAAGAAACACTGTCAAGAGAGATGAACGGTAAAGATGAATAACCAAAACACACTCGTGTTAGATGAATCAGAATATCACAAAGCTTACCAATGTCCAAGTTTTCTGTTAATACAGCCGAGAACAGCCAAAGGTGATAACTTTGGACTATTCTTTAACCAGACTTCATAGGACGATTGAAGTCTCACGATCTTTATTCTCGTATCACTCAAAAATTTGTTACCAGAAAGCAACCTGGATCAGTTCAACAAGGTCATAGCAAACAAAAATTTAAGGTACACTTCTTTTCAATACATTTTGTAAGAATTGAACATTAGAAATGTTAGCTCACAAGTGTTTGATAGACAAGTCATCGCTTAGCTCAAGCGGAATTTGTCCGCTCAAATCATTATTTCTCAAATCCAATACTTCCAAGTTTTCGAAACTCCCATACTCCTTTGGAATTCCACCGGAGAAATGGTTCCTAGAGAGTATTCTGTAAGAACAAGAAAGCAGTTTAGTCCAAGGAAGAACAACCAAACATAAAAAAGAGAGCTGTAGAAAGATCCTTACAGAGATCTTAAATCACTCAATTGGCTAAGCTCAGGAGCTAACGTTCCTTCCAAGGAACATCCGCTAAGATCCCTAGAAAAGCACATAGAGAATCAGACTTTATTAGAACATTGAGACACTAATCATCTCATTTTCATAGCTTAGCTAGTCTAAAACAGAGGAACTTACAGAATCTGCACTTTACCGTCAACACAAGTAACCCCTGACCAGAAGCATAGATCATTACCAAAAACATTCCAATTTGCAAGAGTCCCATGAGGATCCGAGTTCACTCTTGCCCGGAATTTCAACAATGCGGATCCTATATTCATCACAAACTATGAACCAAAACCCTAAACAAAAAACATTAAAACAAGAACAAGAAGATAGAGTTCGAAAAATCTAACCTTGGGAAGTGAGGGACAATGAGAGAGGAGCTTGAAGGCCAATGATCAAGAAGAAGAACCAAGGGAAGCGAAATCCACAACCCATCATTATAAGGTTTTTACAACTATATACTACAGATTTTTCCCTAATTACAAACCAAAATCCAAAAAACCCATTTCCCAGAAACAAACTTTCTCTTCTATATAACCAAACCAAATATATAAAAAAAAAAAAGAGAGAGAGAGAAGAAGTTATATTTCTATATATTACAATGTACAGAAGAAAGCAGAAAACAATCGGATATCAGGGTCCTTGATCATCATTTTCCAGGTTTGAAAATTGATTTTCACAAAACCCTTTTCATCACAGTGTTAATAATCTCTGGGATCTAACAGCTCCTTGTGGATCTCTTGATACCTTAAGAAAATGCAATAAAAATAACAATAATTACCAAAGGGGATACCGTTTCGAAGAAGCAACGTATATATACCTAAAAAAAACATTATATTGTCCTCTTTAAAATGAAGAACATTGTAAATTACGTAAAGGAACCAAACAAATGATTGGAAATAATAAAACTTACTGTATAAAGGATAATGTGAACAATGTATTATTATGTTTCTGGAAGAAACAAAAAGGATGAAACCAGCAAGCGGGTAGGGCAAGCAAGAGAATGTTGGTGGGAGGATTTAGAAATCAAAATATCCCTAGAAATCGATCTTAATTATATTTTAAAAAATACAATTTCTTTAAAGGAAAAAAATCGATTTCTTGTGTTTTTTTTTGCAGGATGATGATGATGATTATGATCTCAGAGTTTTCTCTCTTCGACCATCTTTGGTCTCTCCAGGGCCAAAGGGTGGTGCCTTCTCTCTCCTCCCTCTTCCCTTTTCTTCCCTCTTCTCTCTCTCTCTCTCTTTGCACAATTTGTTTTCTTTTCTTTTCTTTTTTCGAAAATTTTCCAATTTCACAACCCCTAATTCCTTGTAATTTAGTTTTCGCATTTTTTAAAATTATACTGCACTAAACCACGTCACCTTGCTGCATATCAAAAAAAAAAAAACACAAAATGAATGATTATGTATTTTTAATTTGAGTATCAAATCTTTTCTCATTCTTTATTTGGATCGAATACAAGAACAAGACCCATGGGGACGTGCCTGCCTCTTATACTTTACTAGTAGGGCCGGTAATAAAATAGTGAATCTTTGTGCCCGTTGGATATCGTTAATCTAACGGTTTTCATATCGTTTATGTATAAATGAGCACTACCACACATGACATATGGGTTTTTCAATTTATGTGCATGAACATCATCACTAGTATAATTTGTCAAAAAAAAAAAAAAAAAGGAAAGGAAGAACATCATCACTAGTAACATGTCTCCCATTACTTCTTAAAGTATTTTATTCCGTCATGATCAAATGTCAATTGTAGCTAGTATTAAGAAAAAAGAAGTCAATCAAAATCTTATATTATATATGTGTGTTTTGGGTTCATGGATTTGGAAGAAGCTTCTCAAGTATCGAGGTGTGGCAAAAAATTTCTGCTAAG